CGATCAAACAATTCCCAATATCTAAGCATCAATGCCCCGACCAGGCAGAAGTGGGGGTGGAGAAAGAAGCACTTGCTCCCAAGCCACAGAAAGTGGTTAAGGAGCATGTACCCCAGCTTCCCTTCCCCACTCACCTACAACAAGACAAGCTGGAGACATCAGCATCAGCATGCCGTTCGTGGAGGCACTGTAGAGGAGGCCAAAGTACGCCAAATTCATGAAGGATCTCGTCACCAACAAAAAGAAAGTTGGGGATATCTCGACAGTGATGCTGAGCAAAGAGTGTTCTGCCATCCTGCAGAACAAGCTGCCCGAGAAGCGCAAAGACCCAGGGAATTTTACTATCCCTCTTGTTATTGGCAGCATGCATGTAGGAAAGTCCTTGGCGGACTTAGGCGCTAGCATTAATGTCATGCCTTATAAATTGTTTAAGAAGCTAGGCCTAGGTGAACCTAGAACTACTAGGATAAGCATCCAGTTAGCTGATCGCTCTATTGTGCATCCTAGGGGTATCATAGAGGATCTGCTTGTTAATGTGGGCGCGTTCACATATCTTGTTGATTTTGTTATTCTGGATATAAATGAGGATGTGGATGTGCCTTGGATTTTGGGTAGACCATTTCTCGCCACCGCTAAGGCGCTCCCATTTGCATGATGATAGATTGTTATTTACACATGTTTTTACCCCCGTTCTTACACCGTTTGAGGTGTTGATTCTCGTGTTTTAGGCCGATTTCACGCTAGGTTGTGCTTGTTGGTGATATTTCAGGTCCTAGTACGTGAATGGAGGCTTGGAAGCGAGTTTGGGGTCGATTGGACGAAGATCGGACGCGTGGCGAGGTGCTAAGGAAGCTGCACGGTCACACACAAAGACCACACGGCCGTGCAACTGACAAAACCAGGCCGTGTGGGATTGTGCGAGAGCAAACACGGGCACAAGTAACTTTCACACGGCCGTGCCAGTGAGCAAGGTGGCCGTGTGATTTTCGCCGAGAGCAAACACGGGCGAGATGGAATTCTCACACGGTCGTGCGACCATGGCCGTGTGGGAAGCCTGAAGATCGAACTAAAGGATACGGTGCGTTTTGACTCACACGGGCAATTGGGTGAGCCACACGGCCGTGTGGCCTGCCCGTGTGAGTCGGGAAATTCTGGTTTTTCAGCCAGTTTCGAGCAAAAAGAGGGAGAATCGGATTTTCAAATAAAAAAACAGAGCCCTAGAGAGAGAAAGTACGAAGAACACATCCTAGAAGCTATCTTGGAGCTGGGTTTCATCGAATCGAGCTTGGAGATCGTCATAGGAGTGGAAATCATCATCCTGGAGCAGATTTTCCTCATCATTATGAGTATGACTACTCCGATTACTGTTTTCTCTTCTCTCTCTATGGAGTAGAACCCTTCTCTCACTTGGGTATGAAGAACCCTAGTTCCTTGTGTTAGGGATTTGATTGTAATGACTTGGGATGATATTACTGTTTGATTTTAATCGAATGATGCATGTTTATTGAATTGATTGAAGTCTGATCAGCTTTTCTCGATTTATGCTTCAACCTGAGATAGATAGAATCTGATTAGGTTGTTAGAGCCTCTTCATTCGATAGTAGGAGATTGGCTATACGAGAGTTAGCCAGTTTACTGCTTTGTACTGGAATTCAATTCCAGTAGTGGAGTTCTGTGTTCATAGCCTCAGCTTTCTACCTCGGTGAAGACTAGTCGTCTGCCGGATAGTTAGACTGAGAGGGCTTGGTCAGCTTAAGAGATTCCAAGCTACTGTCGGATCTTCCGCAGTCTAATCAACAGTGAATCAACCCAGGGGAATTACAATTGAACCTAACTAAGGGGCTAGGGGGACTCAATCCCGAGTGACTCTTTCCTGACTTTGAAAACCGAACAATTTACTGCTTTCTTAATGCTTTTGCTTTAAACAACAATCAATCGAATTAGTTGGCTAGATAATAGATAATCACGGAGTAAGCAGTAGATCTAGACCCCGGGTTGATAATAGAACTTGCCTGTTACTGCATTCCCGGACTGCGATTACACTTGGTCGCAGTTTGGTGTTGTGTTTTGGCGTGTCAAGTTTTTGGCGCCGTTGCCGGGGACCCCTCTAGATTATTGGGGAAACGTGAGAATTTGTTACTCTAGCTTTTTATTTATTGCATTTTATCTCTTCTACCTGTGTGCCAGTCGGGAGAACTACTACCATTAGACCAGGAGCTTGAACGAACTTGCAGGAACTTCAAGCGGGCTCTAAAGGCGCGACTGGCTGCGGACGAGGCGCTATCACAACTGCAGTTAGAAGAAGAGGAAGAAGAGATGGCTGATCCAGAGAACCGTGATGTGATCCCCGAGGAGCAGACCATGGGATCCTACTGCACCGCTAGGGCTGCGGACATGAGGTCACCCATTCAACACCCTCATGTCCCAGCCAACAATTTTGAGGTGAGCACCTCAGTGATCACCATGCTGCGCGGTTCAGTGGTGTTCCGTGGTAAGGAGGGAGAGTGCCCCCGATCACATCTCAGGCGATTCCACGAGCTCATCGATGGAATCAAGATCAATGGGGTACCAGCAGATGCCATCCAGCTGAGGTACTTCCCATTCACTCTGGAGGGGCAAGCCAAGGAGTGGCTAGACACTCGACCTCCGGGCTCTATCACCACGTTCGCCAACCTGGCGGACAAGTTCCTCACCCGCTACCATCCTCCATCCAAGACAGCTGACCTGCAGAAGCAAATTACACATTTTGCTCAGGATGAGGATGAGACCATCAGGGATGCATGGGAGAGGTACAACAGTCTCTTCCTGAGGTGTCCAAATCATGGCTTCAATGATGCCTTCAAGTTGGGCACTTTCTATCACGCCCTCTTCCCGGAGGACAAGCAGCTGATTGACTCAGTTTGTGGCGGGAACATGCTGACCAAAACACCGCCACAGCTGAATCAACTCTTTGAGGAGATGGCGGAGAACGGGTATGATTGGGGAACTGCCAGGAGATCGAGACGAGCACCAGGACGGGGTGTGCATGCTGTGGGTACCCAGTCATCTGATTTGGTGCAGGTGGTATCGAAGCTGGTTTCAGCTATCGATCGTTCTGGTTTGATTGCAGGTACAGGACAGCCGCAGGCGATGCTCTGCCACTGGTGCGAGAGCACCCATCACACAGTGGAAGACTGCCAGGCGATGAAGGAATCAACCACACGCCAGGAGCAGGTGAACTTCATCAATAACGTCAGGCGCAATGACCCCTACAGCACAACGAGGGGTGGCGCCAGCATCCTAACTTCTCCTGGGGTTGGGTAAACTCCAGACCACCAGTCCCCCAGGGACCACCGGGCTTCCAGAGGCCACCATATCAGCCCAGACAGGGGCAATTCCAGCAGCAACAACAGTCTCTTTATCAGCCCATGCAGGGGCATGCTGCTCAATCACAGCCGCGACCTTTCCAGCAGCCAGGTGCAACCCCTGCTGCCCTAGTGCAGAATGATCAGATGGCTGAATTGCGGGACTTGGTGGGTTCTCTCGCCAGTTCTAGTGCTCAGAAGTTCAACACTATCGAGTAGTTCATGGAAAAGGCCTCGGGTAAATTCCTGGCTCTTGAAGCTGGACAGAGGAACACACAGGCTGTCTTGTAGGATATCCAGACCCAGTTGGGGAGCGTGGCTCAGGCAGTGGCTCAAAGGGCTCTTGGTACTCTACCCGAGCAGACCATCCCTCATCCGCAGACCCCGAATGAGCACTGGAATGCCATCATGACCAGGAGTGGCAAGATGACTGTTGATCCCCCTGCTCGTGAACAAGAGAGAGAGAGAGCCCTGTCTTAGCGTCTCCAGCGGTTGAAGAAGAGGCAGAAAAGGAGGTTGAGGTGCATGCACCTAAGCCGCAACCGGTAGTGAAGGAGTATATCCCGAAACTCCCCTTCCCTACTCGGTTGAACAGAGACAGGCTGGAGGCAGAGTTTGAAAACTTCATGGCCATGCTTAAGAAGCTGAAAGTCCAAGTGCCCTTCCTGGAGGCACTATCGCAAATGCCTAAGTATGCGAAGTTTCTGAAAGATCTTCTCTCAAAGAAGCAGAAGCTGAGTGAGCTGGCCACTGTGGAGCTCAGCGAGGAGTGCTCGGCTATTCTGCAGAACAAGCTTGCGCATAAGCAGAAGGACCCAGGTAGTTTTACTATCCCGTGCTCTATTGATAAATTGCATGTAGAGAGGTCCTTGGCGGATTTAGGTGCTAGTATCAATGTTATGCCATATAAATTGTTCAAGAAACTAGGC